GCTCATTCTCTCTATATACAGTTATATGTCAAGTTATTATTAGTTTTTTTTAAATCTAACAAGTGTTTTCTTGAAGTTTTCTGTTTACAAAATGTATAATTTTTCATTCTATAATTTTTCTACGTTGATTTTAGTATTCTGTAAGTTTCAAATTGCACGAGTTTTTCGGGAAAAGCATAATTTTGTTTATGTCATTGCCAATATTCTATTATTCCTGCTTTGTCAGCTGAAACTACCTAGCTACCAACTCGTTTTCAAATTTGCTCTGGCCATCAAAAATCTTTATTGTTGGAGAATCTCTATCATTTATTTCCAAACATCATTAATTTCAACGTTCGACAATTTTAAATTAAAAATGATGATTAATGAATGTTGGATACCCCCAGAAAATTGGTTTGAACTTCATCGAAGGACCCCAGAATTTTGAACTATCAGCTTTTACCCTCATTTCATTTTGTCAGTCAAAGAAGAAAGACACCAGATAATAAACGCTCCAGCCCAAAACAGATTTAAAGGAAAATTAGTATCAAAGAAAGAAATTAAAGGTGAGTAATTAAATGAAAGTTTTCAGACTTGTGAAATGAAAAATATATTTCACAAGTCTCATGAAAACTTTCAATATTAAAACTTGAAATCGACGAGGTGAACATGAAAAGCATCATGGCTGCCTTGACTTTGTTCATCCTTTGAATCAGAACAAAGAATAATTTTTCCACTAGAATAAAAAATCCACTGAAAAATCAACCACTCAATTTTTTATCATGATTTTTCACTGAGAGACTGTAAATTAAATAATTTTTAAGAGGAATAATTAAATTAGAAATAATGTGACTCATTGTTTCACGACTCTCTTGAGAATTTCTTTCTTTGGAAAGGAAAAAGTTTACTTACGAAAGGCTCATATCATAATTAGCATATCAAGTTAATTTAATTCAATGTAAATGCCAGCGAATCTTTCTCGAATCAACTTTTTGGAAGCAAACAAGAAAATGACTTAAAATTTTAATTTTTTTTAAATTTTATTTCATTTTCCCTCCCATCGATTTAAATAGGTAATATCTGATTGTTTTGGACTTTTTTTTTTTACAGAATATCAAAAATGTACTCGTATTATGAGTGTGATGACCTTGGACCAGCAAATTGGTATAAAATCAATTCAATTTGCAACGGTGCCCGGCAGAGTCCAATTGATCTGCCTGCTTCGGCAGTGTTGAGAACAAAGCCGCTTTGTATTAAAAATTTTGAAGTGAAACCAGATTCAAATAATATCAAAAATGACGGTCATGGAGCACAAATTGTGTTCAATTATCGTCACAATGATAAATGTTTGCTTTCTGGTGGATCTTTAAAATATAAATACGAAGTGGCCAAAGCTCATTGGCACTGGGGTCAATTCAACTATGCTGGAAGTGAGCATAGTCTGAACGGTCATCAATATTCTGCAGAGCTACACATTGTAGCATTTGCATCAAAATATGGTGAGTTTTTACAAATCCTGATTATCACTGAAATTTTCACAACATATTTCCTTGAACAGGTTCACTTTCAAACGCAGTTGATAAATCGGATGGCCTTGCCGTGTTGGCATTCTTTTATGAGGTAAGTTAAAAAACATTTTCTTCCAATATTTAAATATTCTTAAAAGATTTTTGAATTTTTAAAAATTCTTAAAAGTTTCAAGGTTGGATACATACATTTCCAAACTTGAAACTTTTAAAAGCAAACTTCAAATTAAAGTTTCTACTTAATTCTTTCTAGCTCGATGATAGAAACGTAGAGCCGTCAGATTTCATCATAAAAGAAGATCTTGGATTGATAATTCAGCCACACTTAAATGAATACATCAGAATTCAAAATAGCTTCAGTTTGAAGGATCTTATTAAAGAACTTCAAAAGACTTGCTGCATTGACATTCTTTGATGATTTGATTTTGAGATTTCCCAATGATCTGTCTCGACTTGAGATTAATCCAAATATTAAAACACTCAATATTCCTCGCCTTAAACTTAAATAAATAACTTGCTGGCAAATTGGCCTCAAATAAATCTAATTTGCAACGATGCACTACAGAGTCCAATTGACCTGACAACAAAAGCTGCAGATTGTTAAAATGCCACTACGCGAGACTAATTTATAATTATGAAAAAACTACATAAAATGAAATCAAATTCATCGATAACTTTAATGAAAGGTTTCATTTTTCTTGAGAGTCCTTACCTGATAAAGCCTGAATGAATTTTGATGTAGATAATCCAAACAGTTTGCGATTCGTTGATGTGCTTTCATGAAGACATTCAAAACCTTTCTAGCCAACATCAGAATTGTTTTGGAGCATCACCTAAGGACAACAAGAAAAATTATTAAAATTCGAAATCTTTACAAAAAGGGTATCGATGAATTTAGAAATCATTTCTGTAATTTTAATAAGTCGGGTCTGAGGTATCAATGTATAAACATACATTTTTCTAATTAATAGTGGGAAATTAAATTAAATTTGGTTTTATTTTAAAAATTCTTAAAAGTTTCAAGGGTGGAAATGTTAAACATTTCCAAACTTGAAACTTTTAAAAGCAAACTTCAAATTAAAGTTTCTACTTAATTCTTTCTAGCTCGATGATAGAAACGTAGAGCCGTCAGATTTCATCATAAAAGAAGATCTTGGATTGATAATTCAGCCACACTTAAATGAATACATCAGAATTCAAAATAGCTTCAGTTTGAAGGATCTTATTAAAGAACTTCAAAAGACTTGCTGCATTGACATTCTTTGATGATTTGATTTTGAGATTTCCCAATGATCTGTCTCGACTTGAGATTAATCCAAATATTAAAACACTCAATATTCCTCGCCTTAAACTTAAATTAATAACTTGCTGGCAAATTGGCCTCAAATAAATCTAATTTGCAACGATGCACTACAGAGTCCAATTGACCTGACAACAAAAGCTGCAGATTGTTAAAATGCCACTACGCGAGACTAATTTATAATTATGAAAAAACTACATAAAATGAAATCAAATTCATCGATAACTTTAATGAAAGATTTCATTTTTCTTGAGAGTCCTTACCTGATAAAGCTTGAATGAATTTTGATGTAGATAATCCAAACAGTTTGCGATTCGTTGATGTGCTTTCATGAAGACATTCAAAACCTTTCTAGCCAACATCAGAATTGTTTTGGAGCATCACCTAAGGACAACAAGAAAAATTATTAAAATTCGAAATCTTTACAAAAAGGGTATCGATGAATTTAGAAATCATTTCTGTAATTTTAATAAATCGGGTCTGAGGTATCAATGTATAAACATACATTTTTCTAATTAATAGTGGGAAATTAAATTAAATTTGGTTTTATTTTAAAAATTCTTAAAAGTTTCAAGGGTGGAAATGTTAAACATTTCCAAACTTGAAACTTTTAAAAGCAAACTTCAAATTAAAGTTTCTACTTAATTCTTTCTAGCTCGATGATAGAAACGTAGAGCCGTCAGATTTCATCATAAAAGAAGATCTTGGATTGATAATTCAGCCACACTTAAATGAATACATCAGAATTCAAAATAGCTTCAGTTTGAAGGATCTTATTAAAGAACTTCAAAAGACTTGCTGCATTGACATTCTTTGATGATTTGATTTTGAGATTTCCCAATGATCTGTCTCGACTTGAGATTAATCCAAATATTAAAACACTCAATATTCCTCGCCTTAAACTTAAATTAATAACTTGCTGGCAAATTGGCCTCAAATAAATCTAATTTGCAACGATGCACTACAGAGTCCAATTGACCTGACAACAAAAGCTGCAGATTGTTAAAATGCCACTACGCGAGACTAATTTATAATTATGAAAAAACTACATAAAATGAAATCAAATTCATCGATAACTTTAATGAAAGATTTCATTTTTCTTGAGAGTCCTTACCTGATAAAGCTTGAATGAATTTTGATGTAGATAATCCAAACAGTTTGCGATTCGTTGATGTGCTTTCATGAAGCCATTCAAAAAATTTGTAGCCAACATCAGAATTGATTTGGAACATCACCTAAGGACAACAAGAAAAATTATTAAAATTCGAAATCTTTACAAAAAGGGTATCGATGAATTTAGAAATCATTTCTGTAATTTTAATAAGTCGGGTCTGAGGTATCAATGTATAAACATACATTTTTCTAATTAATAGTGGGAAATTTAATCTGCTAGATGAATCAAGATAAGAATGTATGAGATG